TGCCTTTAAATTTGTTCAACTCCAGTAATTTACTGGCAGACATGTTTTCTTGGGGATTAATGATTTTGTTCCATCATCATCATCATCATTATTACTATTTCCTTTGATTTCTGTTGTATACTCATTTCTTTCTGGGTTCCAACCAGAGACCTCAGGTCAGAAATGGCATCATGATATTTCCCACTGAAGATTTTTGTAAAAAAAAACATAAAACAAAAAAAAATAGACAACCTAAAATCACATACATTTTACATCATTTATTGATGTAAGCTGTGAGCCGTACTTGTGAGTACAATATTTTTTTTGTATTTCTTTAAGACATGGGCTACCAGGAATCCCTTCAATGAGTCTATCGGAAGCTTTTCCAATCAAATCGATGTCTCCAACTATTAACTGGAATTATTGATGTCCTCATGTGCCACATTTCTACTTCAAGATCCTTATTTACATTATTCGGACTATTGTCCTCATCTTTGTCGCCATATTTATCACAACGTTTCAAAGATGAGGACAATAGTCCGAATAATGTAAATAATGTACGTAATACCTCATCTCAGAAATATAGACAAACTTTCAAGATCCTTGTATTTTGATATTTTTTGATGATCTACAAAGATGAATTGTAATCTGCAAGAATTGCCATGTCAGTAAGAAAGCATATTCTGTTTTTTGATTATTATGTCTGGGTGATTAGCTTTAATTGTTCTTTCTGTGTGTATTGCAAAGTCCCATAAAACCGTTGCAGGTTCTATATCTGTAACCAGGTATGGATGGTGCTCATACCAGTTTTTTGCAGTTTTCTTCTTGTAAAAGTGCAGATATTCCAGTGCAGATATTATCCCACTCCTTCATGCTGAGTTTTATATTCAGTGGGTGCTAATACCATGCAACCTGATATAAAATAGTCAATTGTTTCTGGATATTTGTCACGGAATCTGCATTTTGGGTTAACACAATCTTTCAGTATGTGTGCTTGGTAATTTCTTCTTCTTCCTCTTCTACTACTACTACTAGTAGTAGTAGTAGTAGTTATTATTATCCAATATATTCAGAAATGAAGGAAAAAAACAGGAATTAACAATAACAAGAAATTTTATGTATGACTTACAAATTGTTGGATTTGTGAGTAAGGACCAGTTGTTGTAATACACACTAGCTTTCTTTTTCCAGATCAGAGAGAAGGCATATAACACATTTCAAAACTTTGTTAGCATGTTTCCTTTTAAAATAAAACTTTCATATACGTTCTTCCAACTTCTCCTTAGCCATATTTATTTTTTGGTTTTTAATGTTTTGGTAAATATCTGTACTTATGGCACATACCATTAAACCTGTCCACATATATTTGGTAAACCCAACAGGACTAATATTTTCATCTTTGTTGTTATTGTCATATTTTGGCCATTATGGTTTCTAGGTTGTCTCAAGGGACATAGGACCTAATAGATTAAAGCATTGGTTCATGAATTTCGTGACATAGTAATTGTGAGTTCAATCCATGTGAATATTTGTAATATTGGATTACCAGAAGATTTGTCCAGAGGAACATGGGAAGTATTGATTTAAAGTGTTTTTGTGAAAACATGGTAATCAAGGAATATTACTGAAATGTATATTGTTGTAGTCAGCATTGAGAAAGAAAAGGAAGGTAGAAATTTGGGGTTAGCGTGTTCTTGTTGTTGTATCTGTTTGTGAAGGTTTTTTTTCTCTTTCTTTCTTCTGCCACAATCAATAATATGAAACTGAGAGTACTACTGAGTTAAATCAATACAACATTTATTACAATAATGAATACATAATAGAACTTTGGTGATGGGGAATACTTACCTGAAAGACCCACTGGATTCGTGGTTGAGCAGTTGAAAGTTTGTAGAAATAAAGTTCATAGTGTTTTCATCAGATATTCTTGTGATGAGAAATCTACAAAGAGTGGAAATGTTTGTCGAAGAGTCATGTGGCTTGTGAAATGCCTTCTTGGAATGTCTCCCCTGGGCTGTATGGGGTCAGGGTTTTTATACCTGATGATGGGCTCCCCAACTAAGATTTTGATTTTAGTAGGAAGATGTTTCATTGGTTGGTGTTAACCAATGTGAATATTGTGTTTAATGTGGTAGTTTTTTAGTGCCTGTGGCTGTGCAGAAATCATGCTAATTGAAAGGTGAATAAGGAGGTGTTGTGGACACTATTACAGTTATACATGATGTAGGTCCACTTTTAATAATGAGCTACAACAAAAGAATCATGAAATTAAAATAACAAATATCAACAAAAAAAAAAATATATATATATATTTATATATATGTATATATATAAAATTAGAGATATTTATTCAAATGGTACATATTCATTTGGCTTTGCTACATTATTATTGGTTAGAAAGCAGCTTAGTACATTTTTAATGCTCCTAGGGTCAGTCATCAAAAGAAAGAAAGAGAAAGAGAATTTCTAAATTGTCCACCAAAATGGAAACAAGGCATGGTTATCATTGGTTTGTCTATTGACCAATCTGAGGACTTGTTACATGCTGGTTACAACAGTGCTGTGAAAGAGACGTTTGGGTTAGCCATTTCCTTTATTTTCTTAAAAGAGGCTGTTACAGAGGTATAGGTAATGGAGTAGGTAGTGGATTTGATGTGATGTATATTTTGAAAAATAAAGGAAATTTTGGTAATAAGATGGCTTATGATAACTTGGTTTGTGGGAACTCTGATAAATGAGCCATGAATTAAAATGACAGAAAAATCACAGGAAAGATTTACAGTGAATCTGAGTTGAACTGAAAGAGAAGAGAATTGTTCAAAATCATATTTGTAGTGAAGTTGTTAACAGAAAGAAATTGTTAAGTGTTATTGTTTTGGAGTGGAGTGGAGAGATTAAAGGAGTGGTGATTATTGAGTTTTTAAAAGTTTTGTTCATTTGAAAAAATAATAAGAAAAGAATTGAAACTTTAATGCCAAGAGTGTTTTTGAAGAGAGATATTGAAGAAGTTGATATGTAATGTTTTGAAAGAGATGAGTGGAGATTTTAGTGTCAAGCTCATTTTTTTTTGTTTTTTACAGTAAGGTTCACCTTGTACAAGGCCCTAATGCCACTTGAGTTAGTGGGTTGTTAAGGGTTTAGTTTATATGGATAGGAGGGAAAGATAATGTTTAACTCTAGACTTGAACAGGTTAAGATTGTAGAGATCAGGGAAACATACTCTTGGGAGTCTGTTCCACAAGGCAGTGGTTCATAGGAAGAAGCTGAACTTACTTCTCACTGATAGAATACAGAGAGAATGTGGGTGGTTTGCTACTATGTAAGTGGTATGGTGGGTCCTAGCCATAAAGGTTAGAACTGGTGGGACCAAGTAATGTAGTTTGTCCAAGCACTTTCCATAGTAGTAGCTATAGATTGGCACATCTCACCTGTGAGAGAGAGAATAATTCTTTTCCAACAAGGACTTGGAGAGGCTTTTGAACTCTATCAAGATTGAAAAGTCAGGTCTGGGCAGCTCTCACCCAAATATGGCAACAGTACTCTATTTTCGGCCTGATCTGGCTCTTATAAAGGTAGAAGATGAGCATGAGGAGTTTGGTACTTACTTGAGTGGTACAAGTTGATCCTTTTACCTGCATCTTTAGTGATGGATCCTATATAAGAGTTCCACTTGTGGTCGGGTATGAGTTTGAGGTTCAATATTCTCTCAAGACATGGAGCCTCCTTGAAGGGACACCCGTATATCATGACTGGCAGTAGTTTGGGGTCTGATCGGCAGTGATGGAATGTAACCAGTTTGGTTTTTGAGGCATTGAATGTAACCAGCCAGTTTTTCCCTCACTGGGAAGCTAGTGTTAGATCAAAAGAGAGGTCAGCTGCCAATCTCTGATCATTAAGAATTTTTTTGTATATCGTCGTATCATTGGCATAGATGAATTTTTTGTATATCGTCATATCATTGGCATAGATATTTACAAATGATCAGAATACATTCTTGGGCAGATCATTTATGTAAATCAGAAAGAGGGTTGGTCTGAGAAGTAACCTCTGGAGGATGTCTGCATTGACTGCCAGGGCTTTGGAGGACTTGCCATTAATAACTACCTTCAGGGAGCTACATGTTAGGAAGGATTTTATAATTGAGAAAATTTTTCCAGTGATTCTGTAGCTGGTGAGCTTGTGCAGCAAACCTTTGTGCCACACTTTGTCGAAGGCCTTCAAGATATCTAATGCTATGGTCCTTGTGGTGTGTGCGTGTGTGTGTGTCATCAAGGGCCTCACTAATCCTGTGTGTAATGGTAGTTAGAACATCAGCAATGGATTGGACTGACTGAAACACATACTGCTCGTTGCACATGTGGTTGTTCCTATCTAGGTGCTCAATGACCTTCTTATTGATTAAAGCTTCAAACAGCTTACTGATGATACTGAGGAGACTGATGTCTATACATGGAGGGGAAGAATCACTCACCCACGTTCTTGAAAATCAGGCATATGCTAGCCTCCTTCCACATGCTAGAGAAAGCTTTATCCTTCAAGCAGCAGTTAAATAACTTTGCTAGGATCAGAGATAATTCTGGGTTGATATTAAGGATGAACACTGGAATTTTGTCTGGGCAAGTGGCTTTTTTTGGATTGAGGCTTTTGATAGGTCTAGAGACTTCTCTTACTGAAATGAGTATATTCTTAAGATTGTGTTCTGTGAGATATGACACTTTGTTGTGATGTAATAGTAGGATTGTCTTGCTAGATCAATTACTACTGAGTAGTGAGCATGATCCTCAATTGGTACTCCATACTTACCACCTTATGCTACACTTAGTAAATCCCTAATATATATATATATATATATATATAAATATAGGTAAATATACTCGTCTTGAAAAACCTTCGGTTTCTTGATTTGCTAATGGTCAAATCAATCTCGAAGGAAAAAAGGTTTTAAAAAAAGAAAGAGCTATGAACATGAACGTTTGTCGAAAATAATCGTACAGCATACAGGTTCAAAGCCTAAAGAATACATATATAGAGATAGATAGATAGATAGAGAGAGAGAGAGAGAGAGGTGATTTTGCTAGATCAATTATGACTGAGTATTGATTTCAATACTCACTGGGTGTTCCATACTTGCAGCCTTATACTACACTTAGTAAGTTCCTAATCCTATGTGGCATTCATCAGTCTTGCTTGAGGGACCTTGGATTTGCACCCAAAGAGTTATGCCTCAGCTGTTTAATCTGATACGTCTATGCAGGCCCACACAGGAGTAACAGTCTCGATTACAATGCTCTCCCTCAATGTTGCCTTGTTTTCTTTCCCTCGAGCGGGCTTCTACTCGGGAGCAAGACTTTGTTTCTCCTTTCCTCGCTCCAACTCTCGGTGTAAATCGAATCTTCAGCGTGTGTGGTCGTTGCCGACGTCTTCCCACCTCTCAATGTCAATGTCCATCGCCCTCATCTCCCTTTTTTAAACATCCTTGAAGCGAAGATGAGGTCGCCCTGTTGCTGTTGGCTAGTTCCCTGTACAGAAGGACCTTCAGAATCCTCTCATCCAGCATACAGTGTACATATCCAAGCCGAAGAAGGTTAAAGTATTAGGCTGGGTAAACTAGACACGGGTGAGAAGTACGACATTGGTAATCCGGTCGGATCAATTAAGAATGCGTCTCACTCTCAGAGAACGAAGATATAGACGGTCTCGCTAGATCAATTATGAATGAGTATTGACTTCGATACTCACTGGGTGTTCCTTACTTGCAGCCTTGTACTACATCTAAGCTACACTTAAATCACTATTCAGCAGCCGGTTACTGATAGTATTTTTTTAATAGAAAGATACATGCTTTCGTTTAACACCGCTCAAAGAAAGTAATGAGAAGTTATCTCCCTCTTTGTTTAACCTATAAAATAAAATGTTGTTGTACGAGTAAAGTTAAACTTATTTTTATTTTTAATCAAAAGTTTTTTTGTTTTTTTTTTTAAGTTCATAATACTATTTTAGAAGTACAGTCCTTTCTATTGAATACATCACTTATACTATTTATCATGTCTGGCGATGAACAGTCAAATAACGACGAAGAAGACGAATTGGATGAAGAATTGAAGATTCTGAAGGAAACAGTGTTTGGTAAGGATTCGTAAGAAAATTAAGGATTTGTTACTTTAAAAACTAATCCTATCGTGTTTTTGTTTGTTTCTGTCTTCCATTATGCAGGTATAGTGAACCTCTGATTATATTTTTATAATAATTATGGCTTATTTATTTTATTTCTTCAATAATTGCTTTTTGTATTTTTTTTTTAATCAAGATTGGATAATTAAATAAAGGCTAAAAAATTCCGTGCCAGAAATTTTAAATAATTATTTTGAATGGAAATGACTTATTTTCAACGAGTTTACGAGAAAATGTAAATAAAGTTAAAGAGGATGGTAGACTGTAAAAAAATATTCTGTGTATAACAGCAAAACAAAAAAAAAATAGAATAAAAAAAAATTTGAAAAATACGCTAAGAAACCAAACAAATTTTAAAAAATGTTCTTTCCTAAGGAAACAATAATGATTTTTTTTTACAAGAAAAAGTGTAACTAAATTTCTAATATTGTTTGTATCCTTGCTTCAATGCTAGCTAGTCATTTATCCGTTGTCCAATATTTATTTAGATTTTAATTTAGATAATTTTTAAATTTTTTCTTTTTTCCTAAAATCAGATCAGAAACAGTAAAATTAACTGTTTATCATCTGATCTAAGTAAACACAGTTAAACAAAACAAACAAAAAAAAATTATATAATACTAGTTAGTAAGTAGTAACATGAACTCGCAAGTAATCCGAGGCTGTCGATTTTTTACGAAAATTGTTTATAACAACCAGGATTTCTTTTTCAAAATTTTGTTTTTACGTTAAGTCTAAAAATAAAGAAAGTCTGTTGAGAAGATATCTTTCTATAAAAATGTATTCTTCCGATGTAGTTTGTATTTGCTTGTAACGGCTCAGTGTATGTTACTTCCACGTACAGGATTCAAGTAATAATAACAACTCCAATTTGTTAACCAACAAATATATATTGAATAAATTACAAGAAACATGAAATAATTTTGTATTCACAATGTAGATTAAAGAGAAGGAAGTTTTTTCCCTTTGTCTGTTGATTGATTGTAATCAACTGTTTGAAGAAAGTTCTCTTGTGAGAAGTGTTCCGAAATAATTGTTAGAGCAAAGTTTGCATGTGAAGAATGAATAACAAGAAGAATACAATTGCTTGAAATGTGTTGTGGATAAACTGGTTTGAATCAACAAAGTTCTGGTTGATTGTGCTTGGCAAAAGTTACAGAGAAAAATGTAAGTTTGTAGTTACGAAATTCTGTGTCTGTGTGTGTGTTGAGCAAGATCGTGGATTTGTGTTGACGGCTTGGATCTTAATGGCAACTTGCGAAAAGTCACCCCTTTTAAGGAAAAAATGTAGGCTCCTATGGAACTGCGAGAAAACTTGATCTTACATTAAAAATATGTGATTGGTTAAAAATTAACCAATCACTACACTCATACTAAGTATGCTCAGAACCAAAAGATTCAAAGGAACGACTGCGATGGCTAAATTGTCATATACAAAGGTAGTAGTAATTTATTAGCGAATTGCAGGCAAATAAAATTACTTGGAGTGTATGTAGATGTGAAAAACATAGCAATCGCTATATGCACTTTATCAAAATTACCTTCATTTTTTCACTTTTTTTTTTTTAAAGTTGTCCATTTTCTCAAAAATGAATTTTTAAAAGTGGAAACAAATGAAATGGGTGTAGTGGTTTACATTTCTCCATAAAGCCAAGCCAAAATGGACCCTGGTTTTGTGTAAGATATAAATAAAAATTATATATCATAATTATATTATAAAATTAGGTAGTCTTTAAAAAATATATCCTAAAATATGAAAAGGTCAGTTTTTAAAAAGATCCACATGACACATAATGATGAGTGGGACCGAACCTTCCCTCCAGCTACAAGATTCAATATATAGTTTCTTCATCGTCATCATCAATAATAATAATAATAATTCTTATGTTACATATGGAATAAAGTGATACAAGCTGTAAATATATGAAGGAGTACTGAAATGTTTTCAACCTTGGTAAGAAGGGATTAAAAAAAAAAATATTTTCTCTTTGGTCAGATTTTAGAAGTGTGTCATGCTGAGAACATTTAAGCATATCCTCATATACTGAATTTCATTGAAGTTCATCAATAATTTGAACATTTCCTTGATACATCATGAACTATTATCACTTACTAATATCACAGACAGATGATGTATAATGAGGAATCATCTGACTTACTTAATTGTGGTTGGAGTAGATGACTTAATGATGCACATTTCAGTCTATTTGGAATGCATATCCACATCTATGAAGAATGTTGTCAATGAATAGACCAGCAAAATTCATAGGTAGTCATTCCCATGGGTGACTTGAATCTTCCTAGCCATAAATTAGAACTTTATTAGGAGTGCTCTGCCAAAAATGTATATTTTACAAGCCTTGCATATCATTTCAATATCTGCATCCAAGTTTGGTCACTACTCACAGCATCAAGCAAGAGCTTCCATGTGTATTATTCCTATATGGATTTAATGGAACAAACTTATAATTATGCTTTTCTACTTTAGGATCAGAGTGTAGTATCTGCTCAATATCAGTTCTCAGAATCAATGACCATTTTTGATCAAGAAACCTATAGGATAATATTAAGCTGGAAGAAATAGGGACAAGTGAGGGGCGAAGTGAAGGGGGACAAGAAGGTGTATAGGAGGAAAAGGTGTGCATGTTATATATATATGTGTATATGTATAGGGGAAGAGATGAAGATAGGCATGCTTTCTTGCTGGATATCAAGAGACAATGATTAAGAATGGAGAGACATAAAAATTGGGATAAATTAAAAAAATTTATGGAAAAAATGCAAATGAAAGATAAATAAGGAGGTGCACTAGAAAATATCTGCATTTTTTGTTCTTTTTTCAGATATGAAGCTAATCCATTTTCGTATAACATTTAGATAAAAAAAATGGACGCACAATGAAAATTAAAAGGGATAAGGGAGAGAATGACAAGCATAGATTTGTAGTTTTAATCAGTTGCATATGCAAAACACAATGTACGTCTATTGTGTTTAACACTTTTTACACAGTGTCAATTCATGAATAAAAGAACCTGTCATTTTGTAACAGGTACTATGTTCGATTGATCATATTTGCCATATGATTAAACTAACATTGTAGTGAACCACTCTCATTCCCTCCGTATTCCATTGGTGAGAAGTAAGTTTCACTCTAGCAGTTTCTTCTTGCTAACCAAAGCTCTGTGGAACTGACTCCTGATCATTACAATTTTAACCTGTTCAAGTCTAGGGTTAATGGTTATCTGCCCCACATATCCACATAAACTGTGACCCATACTCTGTAACCCTCCACTTCAATTGGCTCCTGGGCCTTGTACAGGCTGAACCTCACTGTAACAAAAAAAACAAAAAAATACAAGTAAAGGGTGAGGTGAGAGAGAGGCATAAGATAATGGAATTTCCACTAATCTTAGATGATTCATATACAGGAGGTGCTGAAAAGTTCTTGACTTTGTCAAGAAGCCCTTTAAAAAATACTGATGTTTGTTTAAATTTTAAGAAGTGAATCAGACAATAATTTTTCAGCATTCCCCTTGCAATGATATACTAAGAAATATTCAGAATAAATGAATGTCTATATAAATTAAGTTTTATTACCTTGTAGTACTCAGTGTTTGTTTTTTAGAACATTAAGCACTTATTGATTTACAAATAACATGCTTAAAATAGGTACAATGTCAAAATTAATACATTGTTCAATAATTAACAGCAATAAAAATAATGTATTTATTGTTCAGTTATTAATGGATTTTAAAATGTTGTTGCTTAAAATTATTGTTTAATAAATTAATACATGTTGTTTTTCCCCTCCTCAAAATATTACAATTTAAATCAAGAATATGTTGTTATTAGTCATTCTCCTTTAAATAGACATACAGATATAGACTTTTTATAAAGTTAAAAAGTCTATGTTCTTTAAGCCTTCATGGAGATAAATAACAACACATCATATTCAACAGTTAATGTGTGATAATAATATCACATGTTGGTTAAATAATATGTTTTGGTCACCAATATAATGGAAGAGAGCTACAGAAGAAAAATTTATTTCCCCATTTCTATTTCTCACCATTATGGGCATTATTATATCCATGATATAATAACACCATTTTTCACGGACATAACATAATGGCTGAAAGGTAAAGGAATGACAAACATGCTGTGTTGCCAGAGTTTTATGCTGCTAAGTCATATACACAATTATGTCAACATATTTACACATGTCCCACTCAGAAAAATATAACATACAACAAGTAGAGTGAAAGGAGAATGAAAAGAAAGGGTCTTACATATATGGAGATTCTTCTGTGTTTTTGTAGAAGCTATGTTTAGGACTTCAGATTCAAACAGGCAGGAACAGGAAACGGTAAGTTTTGAGTTTTCTTGAATTGAGGACTGCTAACCAGAGATAGTTTCTTTCTATATCTGGGCAAGATATATTCCCAAAGGGAAATGGCACCATGTGCTTGTAAGCTGTGCCACATGCTGGATGAAGCAGTTTTAGCCTCAGCCTGGGCCAAACAAACTACTGCTTTGTTTGAATCCTTCTTGTAAACTGACCAAAATTGACTGCCACTTTCATCACAGTATGGTGTATCATTAGTAAGTGGCCCACCTGACTTTATCTCCACCAAAGGCAGATAATCTCCTCTTCTATCCCTACAATCTGTTAAAAAATATTAATAACAGAAGAAGCCAGGAAATCTTTTATATTGCTAAAATTATAATATCTTAATTTATGATTGATACATTATAAATTTTTTACCCTCTGATAAACACATCTTTAGTAGTCTTTGACTGATGTTAAACTAATGTCTACATTTGAAGAAATGTAACTTTTTAGTCCATTTCATGTGATTTTATCAGTCTCATGTTATTTTTTTCATCAGAATTTTTTAAGAATCAAATCTTTCAAAATGCTCATTGTTCTTTTGGTTCAAGATATTTGTAAAATGGTGCCCAAAATAGGAGGTCATATAATCACTTGTATATATCTCATCAACTGCTTAAAAAGACTGATAAAATCACTTTTATAAGCCACCAAAAATAAGAAATTTAGATATCACTACAGATATTTAAGAAGTAAGGTTCTATTACAATTTGAATTTATTTAAACTTCCTTTATAAATTGCTTTCTGTTTGTTGTATAATAGGATTTTGTTTATAAGAAGACTGTTGCGAACTGTATCCTATCTTCATTTAAATAAGTTCATTCATTGATGTAAGGCTTTGTTTTCTTCAACTCAGAGTTATAATCAAACCCATTTTAATTGCTTCATGAACAGTCACTAATCCTCTGAAATATATGGCAGTTAACAATTAATTGGTTTAATATATTTCTGTTATTTTTTATTCTAATTAACTAGAAAATAATTCTGCATTTATGTTAATTAGCATGACTAACTAAATTTTTGTTTTTTCTTTCTAACCAGATCTCATTCGAGGTATCAAGGATCCAGAAAAAATTGAAACATTGGAAGAATTGAATGTTGTGACTGAAGAAGGAGTGCAAGTAAAAAGATTTAACAATGACTGCTTTTTAATAACAATTGAATTTATTCCGACTGTTCCCCACTGTACATTAGCTTCTTTGATTGGTAAGTTACTCCTTAATTTGTTTGTTTTTTTTTCTATCTATTAATACTAGGGTTTCTAGAGATATAAAATAAATAGAATTATACGAGTTCACTATAGAATTTCTATCAACTGCTTTAAAAAGATGCTAACAATCTTCATTTTGCTTAATAAAAATTGTAAAAAGCAAATACATAAGCTAAAATTGAAATTCTCTTCATACAATTTAAAAAATTTTCTTGGGGGAAAAAATCAGTCTTTTTCTTTTTTCAAAATACTGTATTAATTTACATAATTATGGAATTAGTTGGAGTAAAGAGCTACAAAGGACAGGAAATTGTAGAGAGCCATGATTGCCAGTGTCAAGAAGAAATGCATATAAGATGAGTTAGAGTTTGCTGATTCCGTTTTTTTTTTTTTTTGTCCTGTTCTAAATATCTTCCTTGTTGATGTTTAATCAGCAAGGAAGATAATTTAAAAAGAACTAACAACCAAGTTAAAGGTAAAGTACCATTACTGCCACTGCTACTTCCAGATGCTAAAATGACCATTTGACAAAATAAAGACCTCCAACATAATAATGGTAATGAGGATAAGATTAAAACTCACATGGGGATTTAATTGCTGTTGTTAACTGCTTCGACACCAGCACCTCTGCTGGCATTTTTAGAAATAAATATTTACATAAATGTCTACAATAAGGATGTTTTGTGATTTATACAGTGTCATGTAAAAAGATGTTCAGAAATGGAACTTTTGACCTTAATTGTGATGACTGCCTCAATAATCAGCATCACATATCCCATCTTCATCCTTGAGTCAAGTTACACTTATAGACTAATTTTCAGCTCTCTGTTCTATCTGTTTATCTGGTCATATGAAACATTGAAGCAAACGATCATTGACTTTAATAGATTTATAGTTACAAATGCATGAGTAAAAGATACATTTCTTGTGAGAATTAATTAAGTTTATCCTTTCTATCAAATTTTTTGGCAATCTTTAGCCTTCATGCTTGCATAAAAAAAGTTGTTTCAGAAGGACAGTTTTTCCCTTGATACTCTTATTACTTCACCCCTTCAGCAATGTTTATTTTTTTTAAAAAGCAATGATTAGAATTATAATAAAACTTAAACATATGATGAAAGTGAATTTATACTTTTTTGTTCTTGAGAATTTACAACAAAAATAGTAAACACTTTATTAGATTGTTTATTTACAATGATTAGCAAAACATTGGCTAACTGTCCATTAATTTGAACTTCATAAAATGTTAAACAAGGATTTCCTTATAGTTGGTTTACATATTTTAATAATTTATTAAATGTTTATAAATTTATGAATAAAAAATTGTTTTCATAGTTATTTATTTATTTATAAATTGGTAAATGATAAATATTGCATTGCATTAGTTTTAAGTATGTTGAAAATATAAAATTATTATAAACAATCTAATAAATAAATAGTGTTTAATATTTTTGTTGTAAATTCTCAAGAACAAAATAAATTTATACATTAACTGTCATCATATATTTAGGTTTTATTACAATTCTAATCATCACTTTTTAAAACAATAAACATTGCCAAGGAGTGAAGATAGTTAAAATAATAGCAGTGTCAACAGAAAAACTGCCCTTTTGACACATTTTTTGAGGGTGGGCACAAAGATTAAAGATTACCAATTTTTTTTACTTACATTTTTTGTTTTACATGTATGTTTATATGAGATAGGAAGAAGGAGAAATTAATTGGTACTTTACAAATAGTCAAAACTTAAGAGAGCAGAATTTTTTCATATATTAAAAACTTCTTAATTACAATATATTTTTGTTTTTTCAGCCTTGCCAAAAGGCAAATATATTATACAGGAATAAAGAAACAGTTTGTTGTAATAATTCTTTTAATTTCTTTTCATTGAGGTCTGTGTGTTAGGAACAAACTCCAGCGGGATTTACCTGAAAGATACAAAGTAAGTTATAAATGAATTTCTTTGGTATGATTCTTTAGTTTAAAGGATAAGAAACAAAGTCTTCTTAATCTTGCATGTTAATGCCAGGGCACATTTTACAAATAATTGCTCTTGTGGTTTTGATGGTGTAATTGACTTATACATTGCTTGAGTATGGAGGTTGGGAGGTAATAAATCATTGCCATGTAAGATTTTGATAGCAGTGGTAGTATTGGCTCCTAGACAATTCAGTCCTTATTTGATATATTAATCTGTTGGGATCTAAAGGACATAAGTTACCTTTTCTAATTATAAGAATCATTATTTTAAAAGTTATTTGGACTCTTGAGCTGTTGCTTTTTGTTGTTACTATAGCATTCTGGTCAATCCATTCTGCAACCTTCTTCAGCTGCACAAACCATTTGGAAAGTGATGTTATTTTTTTTTTTTTTTTTCTAATGCACACAGAAAATTCAAACCATTTACAACAACACTTATATCCACTGAACTATATGCAACACAGACTAATCCATATTATTTATATTCTGGGATGTTCTCCAATTCTTTCTTTGCTGAGCAAACAAACCCATACTGGCTTGACATTCATTTACCTGTAAGGTTTTTATTTTTATATATATATATATATATATATATATATAAAATTGTAAGACAAAATGTAAAAAGTTTATTTGTAAAGTGTTTCATCCATTAGGACTTCATCGGACTGAGTTTGTTAATGTTGGGGCCAGAAATAAAAACACAAAGAGAGGAATTGAGTTAAGAAATATATTAACAGAAAAAAAGTAATACATATACAAATGAGCAAGAATGTTAAGTCCAACAGTCATTGAGAACCACATTCTCTAAAAGTAATACCTGCTTTTATTTGTAACTTGGGAGAGTCCATCGTGTATGGGTAATTTACCATAACAGTTAATGAAACTCGTCACAAATAAACTCTTTCCATTTTGTTTTACAATTTCCTTAATACTGTTCTTGATATATAAAAACATATATCGTTATCTCTCTCTCTCACACACACACACACATATATATATATATATATAAATTTAGTGGGGGGAAACAAATATTTGTACACCTACAAATTTTTAATTTATTGTATTTCCAACTAATGAATAAACATATTTTTTATATAATTAACTATACACAGATGCATAATAACTAAATATGCATAGAAAAGAGAAAAAATTTTGATTTAATAGAATTAAGTCCCACTTATCCATTTTAGTGGGTGAAAAAAGTATGGAAAGTGTGTTTATTCATTATTTGGAAATAAAATAATTTAAAAATTTTTAGGTGTACAAATATTTTTCTCCCACTGTATATACTGCTATTTCTCACCTTCTATATCTGTTATTTTTTTAGGAGATTAGTATTGTTATAGACAAGCGTATGGTTGCAAGAAAGAAATACGACAACAGTAGAAATAGATTTACGTGATTTATTTCAATAGGAATGTGTGGTTTTGGGACATCTTCCTTGTGGTATAGTTCATAGGCCGGCTGAAGATCTGGGTTGATCTCTCATAGTAGTTCACACTGGTTGACGCTGGTGCTCCCCCTGCTGACCGCTCAGCCTGACCGTGACAGGTCTCTTCCCTGGCCTCCTGTTGACTGCCGTTGTACTTCTGTGTGACCCCTTTTATGGCGTTTTTTATGGCTTGACAGGCTCGTGAAATGATGCAAGTATAATTAGGAGGGAAGCATTTTTATTGGTCGAAAAATAGAAACACTTTAAAATATTATTTTATTTTTCGACCGGAACTCGTGCGTCGGGAATATGCATAAACACGAAAATATGGTCATTTTGTGATGGGGCCTTGTCCCGTTCACATCCGGCTCTCGCTCTTGAGTATGTTAGTTTATTTGCCTGCAAATCAGCCGAGATATGTCTTATTTTATTTTATAACAGTATGAACCCTCCAGGTAGGGTCTACCATAACAGATTCTTCTTCCAACTTTGGATATAACTTTTCTATGTTCCATGATTATTTTTCCCAAGCTTGATTTTTAACAGGACAGTTGTTTTTTGTCCCTTATATTCTTTTCCATATTTGCATAAGGTTTCATATATGCAATCCTTTGTCATCCATTTCTCTTGTTTGGGGCGTAATTTTAATAAGGAGGTTGTAAAGAGTAGTTGTACTATTAAAAAACAATCACCCTGATATTATAATTGTTCTCAATTTTTTTGGTTTCCTTCTGCCACACTTTCATTTAATAACTTTATGATAATCTACAGAGTTTGGCATGTCTAATACTCATCCTCCTATTTCTAACCCCAGAAATTATATGGCATGGATACTTGTTGCTTTGGTGAGTTCTGTTTTGATGTGTGCTTTAAATTCTTTTACAGTACAAAAACTATTAGGTTGCTATATTTACTAAGCTTAGATTAGTATGATGAAAGGCCAGTGAAGAGTAAGATTATGTTGCATCAACTATTTCTTAGAATGAATCTGCCTGAAAAAATTTAAAATGATCTGATAGTTTTAGTTTTTTGGGTTATGAAGTAGCAAACATTGATTTGTGTATATTGCATGGTGTACTTTACTAAAGAACAACACATAGTGCATCACTTGTCTAGAAATTGAGGCCTATCTCAAATCTTGCCATTCCACTAGGAACAAATTTTCAGTTTCAGTTTGAAGTAGTTTGCTTAAGAAATTCCAAGAAGTGGTAGAGATTAAGAGCATAATTAATTTGACTTGAAAAATGAATCATCTTTATCTTGGTATATTTTTTATAATTTGGCAGAGTTTCAGATCCATTACTTCCTACCCTGTTAACAAAAGTGTATAAAATGTTATATGCATTTTGATCTTTGAAGTATCGATGGTAAAACTGTTATAATGAAAAGAAAAAAAAAGAAACCCATATCAGAATTCTGGATCAAAAATGACACAAAATAAAATAAACATGAAAAGTTAACTTTTGTACACCTTGTTTACAATATCTAAAAATATTGCATTAAAATTTTTCCCAATTTTTTTTTTTTTTCTCCTGAAGTTTTTTGCTCTATATTGTAATTATCACAATTCATTTAATTTTTTTAAACAGATAAACATATTTGTTTGCTTTCAGCTGGATATTTATGTCAAAGAAGGAACTCATAATATTGAAAAAGATAGTAAGTTTACATTATTAACTTTTCCATTTTTTCTGCCACAATCTGCTTTTGTATATTAAAGTTATTTTCCAAATGTTTTTCCCTAGACTCAAAATTTAATAAATTTATTCACTTCTTAGGTTCCTTTTATATCTACTTTGATTTTGGAAATGTAGAAGTAAATAAAGCTTTTAATTTTGCTTTAATGCTGCCCAAAAGATTGGTTGGTCGGGAATGTGAATGGATTTTATTGTCTATGTTAACGATATATTTCTCTATGTAGGACGACAGAAAAAATATTTCATACCATTCAAGTCTGACAAATTCCCAGCAGAAAAATTTTTGTACAGTTTTATAGAAACAATGTGCCAACCATAAATTTTTTAGAATTCTTTGATGAATTATTAATATCTAAATTCCCCATGAGATCTTAAGATTCTTGCTTCTCTGGAATAAGACCTAAAATCTTATACTTTTTGAGCAATATAATTTTCCTTTGAAAATTTACCAACCATATAGAAATATATAATAAAATTTTTAGTTAAGCATATTCCAAAATTTAATAATAATTTTTTTTTATATAACTGTTCATTAACAGAAAATGATGACTAAGTATAGAATATGTTTATATCACCCAAAACAATCTTTGCAAGTGTTTGAATTCTAATCTGCCTCACAAAGAGCTAAATGTCATTTAATTCAATGGAATTTCATCAATTAATTCTTAAAAGGTTCAGTGCAACAAAAAAAGAATATTATTATGCATTTACTTCCACTTTTAATTTATTATATTTTTTTTATTTTCTACTATTCTGATTGTAATATTTCTTAGTATGCTTCATTGTAGGTGCAATCATCAGCAAGTTGGTTTTGCAAATCAGTAGTGAATTTTATTCTCAGTGCCTTATACTTGGGCCAAAAATAAGCCATGAATTTATGAATAATTATTTTACAGATGTAATGGTCAGCAAACTAGTCTCATGGATCATTGTTTCAGAATAGTGAGTTTGATCTGCACTGAGTGTCCCATACCTGTGGATTTGTGATAAAATTAAGCTATACTTAGTAAATAATTACTGTAATATTCATTATTGATTATCCTATGCTAATATAGACTTAACAAGTATAGTTTGATAAATGACTAAATACTGATTGTTCCAACATTGGAAACTGCTTTGAATTTAGAAAGAAAAAAGGCAATTTAATTTTAAAGTATATAACTCCCTTATAATAATATACTACAATTATCATATGTAAATAAATAAAAAAGTATTAATATATACAATGAGAGTATCACTTTATTGAACTATGTCAATAACCTGTTGCTCTGTTATTTTTTGAGAGTGGAATTTTCTAGAAAGCATTTTCATATTCTGTTGTTCTTAAATTCTCAGTAATAAGTGCTTTTTTTCCCCTTTCTTTGTAATTACTAAAAAAAATTGTTCTGTTCATGTGACACTTCACTATTCCTCTTTTGTTTCTTTCCAGTCAATCGACAGATCAATGATAAAGAACGAATTGCAGCTGCAATGGAAAATCCTAACCTACGAGAACTTGTAACTCAGTGTGTTGAATTTGAAACATTGTAATAATTGCTCGCCTTTCTAACAAGTTGTCCCAGATCTGATCTTTTTTTGTAATATTAAATACAAAAAACAATTGTTTGCAATTGAGGTAACAGCAACAATGATGTTCTTTATGGTGCTAATGGGTAAAATAGATAAAAAAGTTTGAATGTGTCAGAATTGAGAATGAGTGCATTTCTGATCAAAATATCATTTGGGAAAAACTTATTTATATAAAGAATTGGTTTTTTAAATGTGAGAAGTATTGTATCAATTTGAAATGCATTTTATTGAAATTTGTTTACAAGTTATAAATTGTTAAAATGTAATTTAAATAATTTATTAAAGTTTTCTATAGAATACATGTATGAAACCAAACCGGAATGTAACAGATCATTGTGAAAATAAATTGATTTACCATTTAATAATATAATGGGAAATGTTACTATTCTTTTTAAAATAATTGTTTCTTTATAGATAATAAGATTTTTGGTCACTTTGTTTTTAGAAAAATATTAAACTCTTTCCAATAATATAAATGGATTTAGAACCCTATCTTGAAATAAATTCTTAAAATTTAACATTCTTTCCAAACAAATTTTGTTTTAAATAAAAAAAAACAATACAAAAATCTTTAAGTGTCTCTAAATAAACTGTTTTTAGTTTTATTAATTAAAAAAAATTGCTAACTTACCTTAATTTCGTTAAATAACTATATTAGATAGTAAATTTACAAAATTTAATAACTATACCAACTGTTACATATTTAAATTTCAATGAATAGGAATAAGTCAACACATTTTGAAATGATAACTAAACAGTGGACTGACTTTTTTATTTTTTGCCTTGTTCTAAAACCAACAATCTATTTGCTGGCTTAGTCCAGTTGTGACCACATGAAATAATGCTGAGTGAACACAGAGAAATTTTCTTTGATAAAATCTGGCTCATTGTCCAATGCCAGTTGCAATAGCATTCCGTTATGAGCAGAAATGTTGCACAGCACTTGGATTCTTTGTCCAATAATTGTGCTCATTTTGTGGGCCATTTTAAATGATCATACATAACAATCATAATCATGAACCCTTGAAACAAACCAATGAAATCTATATGAATGGGTTGCTATACTGAACTTGGCCATTTCCATAAATGTCGATAAATACTTCAGATTATTTTGGCATACTTCACATTTACACTTTGACTTTGATTTCTGGTCACATGGTGCATATTATGTGTTGAACTCTTACAAACACTAGTGAATTATTTTCCTTAATAGTTATATTGGCTTTGATTCTTTCAATCTAACCAGTTCATCTGAAAACACTTTGCTATATTTTCTTAGCCCTGTTTGTAATGTTGTCTCTGTAGAATTCACTCTCAGCATTTATATTTTATGCCAATTCAGTCAATTTGTGATCTAAACTGACTCCAAACAGTGCTGGACTGGTTGAATGAACTGCATATATAGCCAACTATTTTCTAGATTTGACTAGTGACATTGGGTGTAACTTACATTAAATCCCTTTTAGGTTCAGTTGTAATTTGTGACTAACAATTCCCCTTCATCACTACTGACATGAATGACAATATAAAACTTGTTTGATCATCCCTACTGCATTCTTAAGCAGATTTTTGCTTATCATTTATTTACCTTGTTCCCGCGATTCTTTTTTATGTACCCCCTTTTTAGAACCATGCCTACACAGTGCATACTTAAAATTACATGTATGGCTAATGATGCCCCTCCCCTGTTTGTAACACTAAGTCAACAGCTCTCTCTTTAATGTTTATTTAGCTCACTTGAGTTCATGTATATCTTATGGTTTCATTCTCTTTAGTGTTTGTGTCTCTCTCACACCGTCATTTCCATGACTTTGGTAAGCATCAGTTTATTCTCAGGAAGTAATCTTTTTTCTGTATTGGTTCTAACCTGAAATTATACTATGACCCATCTCTTAATGCATCATTTAAATTGTCACCAAATTCACATTTCTGCAACAATTTCTTTAACTCTGCCATACATACATAGATACAAAGATAGATATATACTTAGATTTTGCTATCGCATTAACATCATTTGCTCAGTCCTGGTGATATATTAGTTACAGTTAACAAGAGTTACTGCTAAAAACATCCCCTCCTAAAATTTATAGACAGATCCTACAGATGCATGCTGGGATTTCTGCTCAATTAATAAAAAGTGAACAATACTCAGTCTTAACTCATAGTTTTTTGTTTTTTTTTCTTACCTTGGAGTCAGAACTCTATAACTACTTGACTGTATCCATTTTGTGTGCGAACATTTCTTATTTTGTAAACATTTTGCTTTATTATTGTTTTAAAGTTGATTTGTTTTTGAGTTGCATTACATAATATATATATATATATATATATATATATAGTTGGTATTATTTTGCCTTGTTCTTTTTTCTACTTCCTCTTATTATTGTTAATTTAGAATTTTGTCAATTATACTTAACCATGCCCACTTATTCTACATGATAAATGATTAATTTTTTAACAATTTAATCAGTTCATCAAATTTTTCATTTTATGGCACTGTTAAACTGCATAGTTATCCCTACATTTTTCCTTCCCTATAAAGGCCACCATTTTGTTTGCATTTTCTCCCCATTTTTCTGTTCTGATTTTCCCACAGTTCATCCTTGTTAAAATAACATCTCTGTGAGTTATTACCAGTTATAATAGTCACAGAGTATGTAATTCAACTCCTCTATGTTGCATATTAGTGAATTTCAATGAAGTCATCATATTTTCCAAAGACAACTGAATACACATGATAGTTTTGGTTTGGCCTTTTTATTTGGCACACTAATTTTGGAACATATGTATCTGCTACAACCAATATGTTTGCTAGATTACAAAATCATATTTAAAGAATTCTCAAGGTAATTTTTTATTAGTAGTAAAAATAGTAAATTGATATTCATTAAAGTGAATTTATTACAATTTGATTAATTTGTATACAAACTATCTGCAAACACAATGCACTTAAAAGCAAAATTTGAATGCTTTGTTTATTTTTCATATTAGAAAATGGGTTTTAAATAAAAATTTTGTATATATTGGTTGTTACTCATTGTTATTGACTTATATTTTTGTTGCAGGTTTCTACTTCCAATTTTATGAATAAGTTAATGTTTTGGACTTGAGACTGAAAACTATGGTTGAATTCTTACTGTAAGATTCATTGTATTTTATGTAAGGAAAATATCAAATTTCAGAAATGAGATATGTATTTTTTAATTTCATCTGATAGCATCTGCCTATTGTTCTAAATTAATCAACATTCACTGCTTTATTTGCACTGCTTTTATATTACATGAAAAAGAATATGATTACTGAATATTTTTTTTAGTTTCAAATTCCAGCTTCCTTGCAACAGTCATCTTTTCTTTATCTTTATTACTGTGTTCTTTGATTTCAATTCACTGAAGTTACCTTTATCATTTAATACTGATTTGAAATGCAAAATTCCATTTGTCAAAGGTAAACTGGTGTAGGATAGATTGCATACTATTGATATTAATCATGATTGGATCTGATGAACATCTTTTAACATTTGGCATTGTCACACTGATCTGATTAAAAGAGAACCAAAAACACTGTCTTGAGAAATGTCAATTGTGATCTTATAATCACTAATCTTTATAGATTTCTTTCTTAGATGATAATTATTTATCATATATACAAAATAATTTCTATAGATGCCAGTTCTTCTGTTTTTATTTTTGTTCACAAGCTAAGTTCTGAAATCAGTGGCGGATTAGGGTTAAAATTAGTCAGGGTACTGGTTCAGAAAATATTTAGCCATTGTTTTAATATTGTGTAAACAATAAAACATGCATAAAAATAAAATTTATATATAAACTTGATAATGTCCTAAATGAAAAAAATATTTTTTACTTATAAATTGTTACAGTTAAAGCTTGATACATTTAAAAATGAAATTTTTAATTTGAGTGAAAAGGTTAATCATTTTCTCCTTGATGACTGTTGAGGAAATTTTTCTCCATTGAAAGCACTGCAGGTGCATTTAATCTTAGGATTCATAGGGCTCCTTAGGAAATTTTTTATTCTTTTCTGTGTTGAAAAGCAGCATTCTGGCTATGATATAGTCATAGGAATTGTCAAGAAGATTTTTAGCAGTTTTATAATTTCACTAAGAACGCCATCAAGATTATTTCACTAAGAACACCATCTAAATTATTTTGAAAGATAAATTTCAGCAACTCACTTAATTTGCAATATTCATGTATATCAGATCTAAAATAGAATACTTTTAGTTCAGTTTCAAGCTTTTCTTTGTCAATCATGGGATATGATTCAGTGGTCAGTACTATCACTTCTGTAGGCAGTTCATTCTTAAAACTAATGAAGCTTTTCTTGTTGAACAATTTAGCAGCTACTAAGTGTTTAGTGGAAGAATATTTGTCCATTATACCAAGACATATGCAGCCACACACTTCCTTTGTTTTTTTGTCTTTGAAGGATTCTCACAGTAATTCAGGTTCTTATTTCTAAGTTTTGAAATTGTGAAGCATTTTTGTTTTGACATTTTGTTGGAAATTCGACATTAAGCATAATTAGATGGAAAAGCTCTAACCAAAACATGAAATTATCATAATTCATGTATTGTAAAATTCCTGTTGCTGTTGTAATCTCAAGAATTTAGTGTATTTAAAGTCAATGAATATTTAACAAGTTTCAAAACTGCTATTTTAGAAATAAGAAACCTGAATTACTGTGAGAATCCTTCAAAGACACTCATGGCAGAAACAAAGGAAGTGTGTGGCTGCATATGTCTTGGTATAATGGACAAATATTCTTCCACTAAACACTTAGTAGCTGCTAAATTGTTCAACAAGAAAAGCTTCATTAGTTTTAAGAATGAACTGCCTACAGAAGAGATAGTACTGACCACTGAATCATATCCCATAATTGACAAAGAAAAGCTTGAAACTGAACTA